GGGCTCCTTTACCCTTTATCCTAGTTGTCCTAACTAGTCTGCTAGATAGAAGTGTAGCTTACATTTGGCAAGTAAAACCTGGGTCACATAGATGAGGCAGAGTGGAAATCCAGACCACGATTCTTCATCTCCAAAGCCTCTTGAAATGATAATAAAAGCCCTCATTCAAAGGGCTGCTGTGAGGTTTAAATGAGACATATTGTGTGTAGTGTTGTAAGCTTAGCATTGTCTTGACCTTTAGCCGGTGCCCAATAAGAGAACTTTCATTCTTTCTTTTTGTTGTTGAGACCTTTCATTCTTATTATAATCATCATTACTATGATTGTGATGACTTCTACCCCCGCTATTATTCTCCAATTACTGCCACTTGTATGAATTGATGACAATAATAGTAGTTACACAGGGCCAGACTCTGGGAACCCTACCTATTTCCATCACCATGATAAATAACTAAACACCAAACCCATTTCTGTCCAGCAGATCCTGACTCACTGTGACCCCATGTTGCTACCAAGTAGACTTTGCAAGTTCTTCTGGGCTATAATTCCCATAGGAATAGATTGCCAGGCCTTCCTCCACACGTGCTGCTGGATGGATGCCAATGGCCAACCTTGAGATAGAATCTAGCATAAACCGTGTGTACCACCTAGGGAGTGCCAATGGGAAGTGCCCCTGATGTTTGAAGGACATCAGAGAGGGTGGATTTCACAATTTAAACAACAGTTTCTTGTCATTTCCGGCTTCTCTTCTCACTCACTGGGCCACAGAAGGCACACAGGGGGCCACTTAAAGGACCTTCCCATCATTCCTTGTAAACACACACCAGATGTGCTTTTTACCTTGGCCGCCTTCAGCTAGGGTTGACCCGAGGGCGGGAAGTAGGATGGTGTGTGCACCCCAAAGGCTGCAAAAAGCTGCACTAGAAGGCCCATGCCCTCAGTGCTACCCAAAGCGCTGTTTTGATTTAATGGATCCTTATTTGCCACTCTGAGAAAAATCAGGTACATGCAGTATTTGCTATGTTTCATAAATAACGTACTAGTTATTGTTAGTACGCAGATGAATGCTGCACAGTCCATTCATGCTCAGAGAAGGAGCTCTGAAGAAGCTGCAAAACTAGAACCGGAGAAGCACCCCTGTTGCTGTGATCCTTAGGGTGCCTCCATGGGTGAATAATTGTGTCTCAGTTATGCATTGCTGTATGGATACCAAACTGCCCTGACCTTAGACACTGAAAACAACAATGCAGGTTTTCTCAGGATTCTAGGCATTGAGTGGGTTATCCTTTGTTGTTCTCACCTGTGTTGCTCTTGTGGCTGTATTTAGCAGGGGCATTATGCCAAGTTCAACAGGAAGCTAGACACCTGAGCATTTTCATAGCAGACTTCTTCATAGCCTGGCCATCTCCCGGCTGCCCACCTTCCAAGAGGGCAAAAGACTTGAGGCTGGCCTACTGAGACATGGAGAGTGTCACATCCATGACACCCCATCGGTGAAATAAATCACAAGGCCCACCCCGACTCAAAGGAAATGCAACCAGACTCCACCTGTTGTGCCATCCTCATACATATATGAGGGGGTATCCCCCAAAACCGATACTCTGTGTGAGGGGAGTGTGCATTTGAAGTTTGTTCCACCAGGTCAGACTGCTAATCACGCTTTCTCTTTAGAGGTTCTGAAAAGATTGTGCAATGGTGTGCAACAAAAAAAGGCCTGATTGTGGCAGACAGGGGACTGGTTTTGCCACCACGACAATGCACCTGCTCATGCAGCCATGTCAATGCACCAGTTTGGGCAAAAAACAGCATGCCTCTCTTGCCCCACATGCCTTACTTTCTGACCTTGTTCTGTGTGATTTCTTTTTGCTTCCCCAAATGAACAGGCACATGAAAGACAGCAATTTGATGACATAGAAGAGGTGAAGAAAAAACGAGAAAGATGCTGTCAGTCATCCAAACAGATGAGTGTGAAAAATGTTTCCAAGGATGGAATTGCAGATTTGACAAATGTATTAAGTCTAATGGAAAGTAGTTTGAATATAAGGTTATTTTGTAAAAAAATAAATAAATAAATACAATGCTTTGAAAAAGTAATTCCATTTTTTGGTACTCCCACATAGATAATATTTGTCCTTTTGTGATGACAATTATGTGATGAGAGTTTCTTCTTATCTGTGGTTGTGCAATGGGTGGCTCATCTCAGGATTGGTAGTTTGAAAGAGTTACAGCCTTAGAAACCCACAGGGGCAGTTCTACCCTGTCCTATAACGTGGCTATGAGTCAAAATTGACCCCATGCTGGTGAGGTTTTTCTGGTTTTTGTTTTTCTTACTTGTGCTAATACCATAGGATCAAATTTTCCTTTGTAACAGATATAGTCTGCATTTTAAAAATGAATCTATCTGTTCTTTTCCTTTAAGTAGCATCTCTTTGCTTTTTCAATCTACACCTCTATTATAAAGTTGTAGCTCTAATGAGAACAAAAGAATCATCTACTTGTATGTTCTAGACACAGACTCCTAGATATAGACATCTTCTTGAACTTACACTTAGAGCAAAATTAGAGAGAGTCAGTAAAATATTAGACTGGGCTACGAAGATATGAGTTTAGCAGACAGAGCAATGAATGGGCACCTTGTAATCCTGTTGATGACTGGTATGAATACCAGTGATCATCCAAAATATATTTCTTATACTTTGACCCCACCTTGTTCTAGGTGAGAGGGAATCATGGTGGCAGAGTGAATGTTAGGCCATGAACCAAAACCCAGCGGTTCCAACCCCCCAGCTGCTCCATGGGACAAAGATGAGGCTGTCTGCTTCTATAAGATGCACAGCATTGGAAACCACATGGAACAGTTCTATTGTGTCCTACAGGGATTAAACTGAATCCGAATAGACTTGGGGACAATGAAGTTATTTCCTGATTTGTTCTAGGTGAAGAATATTACAGTGAATAAAATCAAAGCCTCGTCCTCATGTAATTCTAGTTAGAAGCAACAGGAGGCAAGAGATATGAGGTCTGCTAAGTAAGACTAAATGGTACAGAGCCAAAGACAGAAACAAAGTTAAGTAGACAAGGAGAGATCAACCATGGGGATTGAGAATGAATAGGGAGTGAGAGAAGGAAATAATCAATATAGAATGCTAACCCAATTGCCAAGGGAGGAAACTATTTCAAGAAAGGAACACACGTGTTTCTGGTGCTGCGGAAAGCTGGATAAGGTGAGGGTGGAGGACTAGCCCTGTGTTTGGCCGTGTGGAAGGCACTGGGCATGTGGTCCCACGAGAGGGCCTCGAAAAGGGAGGAGAAGAAAGATACAGAGAACAGAGGACACTCCTAAGCAGTGCTGCTGTCACATGAATAGCACAAGTGGCTGGCTTTCCAGAACGGAAACTTGCCCTCACAGTCCTGAAGGCTAAATGTCTAAATCAGGGTCTTGGCCATGCTTTCTGGTGGGCAGCGGCCGTGGTCGTTGCTTCCGTGGCTTTTCCTGCCATACAGACAATCCTTATACGGCCTGTCTCTTCCCCTTTAATTATTTATTTATGCGTGTGTGTGTGTGTGTGTGTGTGTGTGTGTGTGTGTGTTTCTATGTCTATTTTGGAATTTTTATAACTCAGAAATGATTAGATTCACTATCCACCCTAAACATAGCATGGGTTCATTAACATTAAAAAAGATTCCTGTTTCCAAACAGAATTACCTCCACAGCTACAAGGTTCAGAAACTCAGCTTATATTTGGAGGGTGGGTACAATTCACTCTAAAGTAAGGAAAAGGGTGTTGAGAAATAAGAGGTCATTGGCAGGAGCTGGGGACCGAGAGAGGGGATGTCTCTGATGGGAAGCCTGGCAGCATGGCCGTGCTGAGGGGAATGGTCTGGGGCAGTGGGAAACGTGAAGCTGGGACAGGAAAGGAGCAATTGCTCGATGAGACCCTTGAATAACAACCGAGGAGGGGTCCCTTCAGAGTAGCATTTTCGTACATTCACCATCACATCGTCAAAACTTGTTACTAAAAATGTTAACATGTGTGCAAACCAGGTACGCCTCTTTTAAAATCGTATTTATAGCCTATGGAATTAGCATGTAATGTACATTTCAAAACATGTACAGAATAGAAGCAAATACTGTGGAGATATAACAAAAAATAGAAGATCTGCTATTTTCTCTTTACACCCCAATGGAGAACCATTTTTCGGTGTCATTTGAAGAGAGCACTGGGGGTGGGGGTCTTTGCCTTTAGACAGTGACTGACTTATCCAAAGCAGTTACACGGGAAAAGATCGTCTTCCTTTATTGACTGCTAACCTTGGTAATTATTCTGACTGTAACCAACCTTACAATTTTAAGTGTAACTAGCTGGAGGTTCTAATTCAAAAACAGACTCTTCAAAGGGCTCTCGAGATTATTGTTTCCCCCACGTGATATCACAGGATGCAAAAGAAAACTGTTAAGGAGAACAACCGCATTTCAATGTTTATTGATTGCCCCTAGGTCAATTCTTAGCTGTGGTTCATCCCAGAGCTCCCTCTGAGTCTTTCCATGGAAGGACAGGGGTCCAACTCATCATCAGTAAGTCTTTCCCCACCGGACAGGAGAAAGTAAGGCGCTCATCTATTTCTTCTACAAGGTTTCGGTAATACAAAAGGTCATTGGCAGCTAAAGCACACCTAAGAGATGCCTCTAGTTTACGAGAATTCCAGCCGACAGGCCCTGGAGCTTTCCCCACATCTTTGTCCTCTGGAAAACCGTTTCTTGCTAATGATGAGGCTGCAAGGACTGGCTGGCTAAGTCATTCAATGGAACAATGGTGTCAAATGGAACCCCACCGAAAGGCTTTCCGGTGCCCAAAGGAAGCCATCCCATCATCCCAACGCAGACCCGGTTGTCAGTTGTCCTATCTCCAGGTGAGTCAGAAAGCCAGGCCGTCAATCATCATGGTCACGGTCACCGCCTGCAGATGCTGCTCTCGGGCGGGGCGTGCGGGCTCCCCTAGATCAGTCTCCCCAGCGCGGTGGCAGTCTGATCCACATTTCCACCCGGGAGCCCTCCTTTTCCTGGCGGCTTGGGCGGTAGGTTCCCTGTGTCGCCCTTTTCTTAATGGCTACGACAGAAGCCACCACTCCCAGAAAGAGGATCAATAGCAAGGCTAGTGTCACTGAGCCAATCGCCGTGAAAACGTCGGAGATCAAGCCATCTGCCAACTGGAAGGATCGAAATAATCGAGGTATACATTATTGAGCAAGACAAGGGTCAGGACACTGGGAGGACCGGCCCCTAATGAAAACCCAGGGAGCCCCTGGCTACCACTAGGTCCTGTCCCGACGCCTGGGTGCTGCTGGAAACCCAGATTTGCTTATTCCAAGATCGCGTCAGCGAAGGTCAACCGCCAGGAAATGAAGCGCTTAATGCGTCCACTGAAGCCATTGAACGTCTTCAGCTCTGTCAGAGATCATCTGGCGTCAAGTGCAAACACGGAACCCACATTCCCTTTTGTAAGACATTTCTACCCCATTGGAACATATGATTCAGTCGCTCTCCTCCAGTGCCAAAAGTTCTGATTTGGGACTGAAGGAGGGCTTGCTTTACAGGCTTTTGGTGGGAAAGGAAGCACATTAAATTAGTGGGACATCGTGGGAAAGGTCTGGGGTCAGGAGTTCGCAGTTTCCACAGTCACCACTTTGATTTGGATTTATTGCGACAACGGATGGTTGTAAAAACACAGGAGTTGAAGGCTGAACCCGAATCTTTGGGAACGGAAAACTGCAGGTAGGAAGGAGCCCGTCAGGAGAAACTCGGCTTTCAGGGATGCTACTTGTACATAGTGGTTAGTTGCATGTTGATTCCACTGTTTGCCAAGCACTTGTTAGCACTTGTCAGCTCCTATACTATGCTGTTGCGAGGGGCCCCATCCAGTTCCCCTCATAGTGCCCCTATGTACAATAGAACAGAGGGCTGCCCTCTCTGTGCCATCCTCAAAAGTGCTGCCACGTGTGAGCCCACTGTTTCCAGTTGACGATGGGCAACATGAAATATGCGATTTGCCTTGCTAGGTTTCATAGAAATTCCTCTGGCAGTGTAAAATCCGGAGTAAGCCATTGCACCTCCACATTTGGCTTCCTTTCCCCTCCTCTTCTAAACTTCTTATTACCGAACCAAACTGCGACAATTTAACATGCTAGGGAATGCTAAAGATCCTTGCTAGCCTCATTTCCCCTCCCTGTCTTGGTTCAAACTAATCAATATACAATTAAAATAATACTGGAGCTTCTTCCTAATGGTGTCTTGGGATTTACTTCCTATGGTACTTGCTCAAATGTGGCTTGTTAGTTTGCTTGTGCATTCAACAATATTGACTAACCTTCTTCTACGTGCTGTGTGCTGAGGTTGGCTATGAAAATACAAAACCAACCAAAGTTTGCAATTTGGAGCTGAGATTCTGGGGATGAAAGACACATGCATTTACAAAGAATCATAAAACACTGTAAGTATTGTCCTAAACTAATTGCACCGGGTTGTAGGTGACGTAAAATGGAAAGGGGGCATTATTATGACAGTTCTTTGAAGAATGCACGGACATTTAAATCTTTCAGGTAGAAGATTCAAATTGGATGAAATACTTTGAAATTAAAATGGGAAGTGGGGGATAAAACTACTTAGGAGTTGGGGAAAGAGTAAAACATCGAGTGTGGCCAAAGAGAGTGTCCATAAATGCATATGTTTGAGTTGGAAATGTTTGAAGAGTGGATGGGAACTAAAACGATACAGTAACCTTGTTAAGAAACTTCAATGCCACATTAAAATTTGGATACATTCCTGAAGCCAGTGGGGACCTAGGGGAGCTTTTTAGGCAGGAACACAATGTGATCAGATCTGCGTTTTATTAATTTGGCTCTGGTCATGGGGTGGAGGATGGGTGGGAGTGGAGAAGCTGGAGGTAAGGAAAACAAACTCATTTTATTAGTCATGATCTCTCTAAATTGGACAATAGAGTAAGAATTGAAGGGCTTGCGGCGGGAGGGGTGAGGGAGATGATACAGATGAAGTTCCCCCCCTTAGTGGCTGCAATGCAATACACAGACGCAGCAGCCAACTTGAATAGGAAGACAATGACTCCAGATTGGGAAAGGCTAATTTTAGATTCCTATTGCATAATTGCCCAGTGGTAGTGGGAGAGTGGGTGGGTGACAGGGTAGCTAAGTGATGCTCTGCTACCTGAAAGGTCTAAACCCATCAGGCTCTCTGGGCAATGACATGGCAATCTTCTCACCTAAAGATCCCGCCTGGAACCCCCTGTGGCTCTGTCTGCCTGCAGGGACTCAAGAGCATTCAGTCACGGGGAGAGAGAGTTTGGGATTATTACTCTCCCTTCTCCACGTTCAATTCACTGAAAACAATTCTGGGTCAAAACAGAGTTTCTTCCTCTAGTTACTGGAGCTCTTTGAACCAAGTATATAGGATTTGACAGAATTCAGTACTTTCTGAGAAACAAAACAAAACACTAGTTACCGCGACTAACAGAGGAGATCTTCAGTCATACTGTCTGGCCATCCTTTTGTGAGTAAACACATGATTGTTATCCAATTACAATAAGCATCAAATCATTTATTAATGTAAGTATGGGCTGGGGGTGGGAGGTGACCCAGAATAAATGAAATCATAGGCTGGACTCACAACAGATAGAGCCGAAGACTGGGCCTTCAAACGTCACTAGCAAAAGACACAGCATGCCAGGCACTTCTTAGCCAACCCGAGTTCTGTCCATCTCTAGGCTGTTCCTGTTAGGTGCCTGGTCCACGGCTCGAGGGTTCGCTGGAATCTGACCAGCGAAAACCCCTGGTGTTATCTGAGGACGTCCACGTGATGCTCAGCCTGGTTCCTAATAGTTCACTGCTCTAATCCAGTAAGCTGTCATCGAGAGGCATAAAGCAAGGCGCCCTGGTGATTGCCCATTTTGCTGCAAACCATTAGGTCAGGGCCTCAAACGCAGGTGCTCCCAGGGGGAAAGATGAGACCTTCTATCCCATAGAGATTTAAAGGATTGGAAACCCCAAGACGCAATTCTGTTCTGTCCTAGGGTCGCTGTGAGTCAGATTGACTCGACGGCAGCGAGGGCAAGGAGTGAATGATGGTTCCTGAATGAGTGAGCTGGGAGTGTCCGGGCAAAGAGAAAAGCCTTTGGTTTGCCTCTGGTTTCTGAGCTTTTCTGGGACCCCGTGAGGCTGGCTATCGTGGGGAAGCTTGGGCAATATGGGCACTATCATTTGACACATTTCATGCTTCCTTTTACTGGGTGGAACCCACGAGGGAAAGGGTTTCACTGACAGCGACTCAAGTCTGTACAGAACTATAATCCGGTGCAACAGGCTGGCGCTCTCTGTCCGTCCTGACTCCACCCCTTCCTCAAGTTGACAGTAGAGGATGTCACTGCCACAGAGAGTATAGTCTCCTCTTTCCTAGCAATCCCAGTCTGGTCACAGTTCTCTGAAGTCTTTGTTGTGCATTTCTCGCCCGCCCATAAAGTCTTCTTACTTTAACTTGCTATTCTAAGACCATTTAGGAAAGCATGTCTGTGGTTTCTCACCATTCTCGATCTCTGAGCCAGAAAGCATCTGATGGGGGTGGATGACTGAGAAAGCCCTGTGCTGGGTGCTTAGTACACATTCTAAAGCTCACATTCAGCCGCAACCATGGGTGCATGCTAAGGGCAGAAATGAGAATGCTGAAACAGGATAGATGGCCCCAGTTAAATGCAAACTGTTGTTTGTTTTTTTATTTAAAAATTTGTATTAGCTTAATAATCAGCACTATGAGGAGTAGCATCGCCAATCTACACAACAACGGAAGGCTCAATGCCACAGCAACACCAACAACACAGCAGTCTATACAAACACTAACTGTGCTGATGAAGAGAGAATTCATTCCCGTCACTCCAAAGCTCTTCAAAGTCATAAAAATGATAAATAACGCCTAGATTGTTAGAAAGCATAATATATGCACCGAAGACTCGGCTTGAAAGCAGAAAGGAAGCTCCTCCAATCCCCGCCCCCTCATCCCATCATGGCAGGGGAAGGGGACGGGGAGGCTGGGAGGAGAGGGGGCCTGGGGGTGAGCCTGTGAGTGAGGCTGGTGAGATTTCAGGGTAAGGCAGGCAGACTCCAAAGAATTTCTAAAATGTCATTCTGATCTTTTCCATTGCGAGTACTGTTCGCAATGATTCTGACCCAGGCTGGCAGGCGACCACCGAGGAAGCAGGTCCTTTAGCTATATTGCTTGTTATTCCCAGAAATGGGGCAAAAGTGAAAGAGCAGATTCACTCCTGCCATTCCTGGCGCTGTGATGTGGAGGCACAGCTCTGCCACTTAGGCATCGCACCACCCGCTGAGATTCATTTTCACCATGTATGAAACTGGATACAAGTAGCTTCTTCAAAGAATGGGATTTCATGAAACTAAATGAATGGGAAATATACAAAGTGAAGTCTATAGTAAGCTCCTAGCACATAAAAATACTACCAACAAAAGAGCCATTGCCACTGAGTTGGTTCTGATTCAGAGACCTTATAGGATGAAATTTAACAGTCCTGTGGGGTTTCCGTTTAGCCCTAGTGCTGAGTGCAAGGTCAGCAGTTCGAAACCGTCAGCCGCTGTGTGGGAGAAAGACGGGCCTTTCTACTCCCATAGAGTTCAGTCTGGGAAATTCACAGGGGCGGTTCTACCCTGTCGCAATCAGCTGGATGGCAGTATGTTTGAGTTTGGGGATATCGTTTCAGATGCAGAATGCCACGTTTCTGCCTCGGAGAGGCTGATGGCTTCAAACCACTGACCTGTTGGGTAAGTAGCTGAACGCTTAGCCACTGGATTACTAATGCTCCAACCTGCCAAACAAGCAGCCTTGGTGGTCACCGTAAGGACTGCACTGCTTCAAACCCGTCAGACGAGGGCGTTTGCTCCGGTAAAGATTGACAACCTTGGGAATCCTTTACAGGGTGGCTGTGAGTTAAATCAATTCTATGGCAATATTTAAAAAAAGTTATATATCATTCTCCCTAATGCTATTCACTTATAATAAGATAAACTAGAACTCCCTTAGGACCTTGCAGTATGAGCAAGCAAGCCAACCTACAAACCTAATGTTGCAATTCCAAGCCCCAGGTAACGTTTGTTGATGAACTGGACCCCCTAGCTACATCAAGCAAGGCATG